ATAGGAAGCACAGTACGTGGAGTAGAGATGGATGGGGATGAACCCTAAGAGAGAAGAAAACACCTTGGGGTAACTGTTAGGGAATCTGGTACATAAACAAATTGATGGAAAACTCTCCCCTTTTCAAACTTTTCGTACACAATTTCTTTGAAGGGTAATTCTAAGATTTATGTGTTGCCAAAATCAAAACTAGAGCTTGTATCACCAGCCCCCCTTTTTGCTAGCTTACAAAAACCCAAACCTCAAACTAAACTCACTTGAAAAGACCTAAAAATAAACAATTCAAAGGCAGATCAATGCATGCATGAATGTATGAATAAATAATAAAGGAATAAAGGAGGATAAAAGGGAATGAATGTACCTATGCATGAATGAAGTCAAAGAAAACAATCTTCTATTGCCATCAAAATAAGACCCAGGGGATGGATAAATCATAAAAAAAGAAAAAAAGAAAAAAAAAATAGAGACCAAGGTAAAGCTTCTAGTGCCAAAGAAGTAAATTATGCACCTGGAAGAACATGTCCTGCCAGAGCCACCGAATATCTCCCATCAACTGCACTTCTAATTAGATTTAGCTGTAGCCTTGCATAACACACGATGTAGAGAATTCCATAACCACAAAGTGAAATACAAACTGACAAGACAGGCAACATATTTAAAAGTACATCTCCTGACATAACAAACAAGATTACCCAAACCAATTTACAAACATAAAATGTGAAGTCTTCCTATCAATATGTAAACCAGTAGAAATTGTAAACAGTTTTCAATATTAAGCAGATAAAATTTTCAAAGCGTATAAAACAGCTAGACAAAAATCGGGGAAAACAGAGCTCAAAGATCTAACTAACCTGACCGTCTAGAAACAAAAGAGAAATAGCAAAAGGCTAGAGATGTAAAACAGAAATCTCCCTAGTTAATTGACTCAACAGGAAACATTTAATTCCCTTTCCAAAACTTAAGAAAACAAAACTTTAACCACATCTACAAACCCACCAAAGAGCTAAAACAAATAATCAAGATCATTGTATGTAAAGTGTTATAGAAGAGGAACCATATCACAAATATTGACATGCTGAGAGAGAAGGTTGATAGAACAAAATTTACTTATTAAAGACAATTGAATCACACAGCCACGAGGGTAAGAAAGAAGGTCTACTTCTCTTAGTGCATATGTAAAAGCAACAAAGACAATTGCCTGTAGGAGACTAAAACATAAGAGGGATTTCTGTACGTGCAGCATATGAAAAAAGTTAGTGAAACTTCTAAGCAGAAAACTTGACCAAAAGGCATAAACACAGACTATTCTAAATGTCCAAAGCAGAATAATGCAGTTCCCCATACCAGTACCCTAGAAACTTTACAATCAGGAAAATCAGACACATAATATTGATAGAAGAGCTGGTCCCAATGCATAAGCCATCCAATACTTATAAAGGAGATTATATACCCAATTGAACATAAGATCAAAGTTCCAACAAATCACATTTAGATAAATGTTCTGAGGTTACCTTTGGTTTCACGCTGTCCAAATGTTGTTCTACAAAAGCACTCCCATCAAATGCACTTATAATGAAATTTAGTTGTACCATTGCAAAATAATAAAATAAAAAGGAAACTAGAAAAATATCAAGACATTAGCACTTATCAAAATTAACACATTGATTGAAGAAAACTGTTAAAATCAATTTCAAAAACTTCAAATAAATAACACTAGATCCTCAAAATTGTTTGAATTTTCACATAATAGATGTAAAAAGTAGGTAATCCATGGGATGCCTATGGAATCCAAAATAAGACCAGGCCGAAGCTTCTGATGCTAAGAAAGTAAATTAAATATACCTGGAAGAATGTAGTGCATGCTCCATCAAAGACCTCTCATCAACATGTAACTAACAAAGACAGAATCAATGAATTGTTTCAAAGATGTACCAAGGAAAAAAAAATTCAATTAAGTGAAGGAGAACAACTTTCCAAACATACCTGCAAGCAAATATACCTCAGGAGCAACATAATTAGGGGCAGTGGGGCACCACATGTCGTGTGAAGTAAACCATCATCCTGAATTAAAGGGATAAGATAATAAGCCATCAATTGATTACTAAAGAGGCAGGCAACACTTGACTAAGAAATCTACACCCGAGCAGCCTCTTACATATTCGTTTCTTATTAACTTCTTAGCAACCAAACAACACAATCAATTTTGACTTGTGTTTATCACTGTCTTAAGCAAATAGTTTATATCATAGGAAAAGCATCTATTTTCCATGTAAAGAATAAAGAATGAAAGTAAAGTCTCACCAGCTTTCTCTGCTTCGTCCTTTGCTTCTTCCTCATATTTTTGGGTTGCACAATCATCAACCTGGCCACTGAAGAAGAATATCAGTCCTCCAATTGTGGACTTACCCACATCTTAAAACAATTACAAAATGAAGTCAAAACATGCCACCACAAAAAGCAGAGATAAAAACCATCAACAGTTGTGATTAAAAAGAGCAAGCTTTCCTCAATCACTTTGATAAACAATGGTCCCTTGTAATGCCAACAAAAAACAAAGCAGCCAAATTGCAAAAGTTGAAACAAACTAAAAACACCTTTTCCAGAAAAATAACATAAAATATCAAGGAATGAAAACTTTTAACTTCTCAAAAATATGTAGAAAGAAGCAGGACACCATAATGTTTAATTATTTTTTTTTTTTTCAGCTAGCTTACAAAAACCCATACCCCAAACAACCCCTAACAACTAAACCTAAAAATAAACTATCACTTGGCAGGAACAAAATCAATTCAAGGGCAGATCAATACAAGTAACTGAGTATGAATGTATGAACAAATATAATAAAGGAATAAAGGAAGTTAAAAGAGGAATAAATATGCCTATGCATGACTGAAGTCAAAGAAAATAATCTTATCTTGCCAACAAAATAAGACCAGGGGATGGATATATCATCAAAAATAAGACCAAAGTAAAGCTTCTAGTGTTGAGAAAGTAAATTATGTACCTGGAAGAACATGTCCTACAAGACAAGGGCCACCGAATATCTCCCACCAACCGTACTTCTAGTTAGATTTAGCTATAACCTTGCATAACACACAATGTAAAGAATTCCAAAACTAAAAAGAAAGTGACCTACAAATTGCTTGGACAGGCAAAATATTTAAAAATACATCTCTGGACAAAATAAACAAGATTACCTAAACCAATTTACAAACATAAAATGTGAAGTCTTCATACACAAGCAATTGTTAAACATTTTTCAATAATAAGCCGATAAAATTTTTAAGGTGCATAAAACAGCTTGATAAAAATCCAGAAAAACAGAGCTCAAAGATCTAAATTACCTTACTGTCTAGAAACAAAAGAGAAATAGCAGAAGGCTAGAGAAAGAAAAGAGAAATCTCCCCAGTTAATGGTCATTCAACAAGAAACATTTAATTCTCTTCCCAAGACTCATCAAAAGAAAATTTTAACCATGTCAACAAACCCATGTAACAGCTAAAACAAAAAATGAAGATCATTGTCTGCAAAGTGTTATAGAAGAACAACCATATCACAAATATTGAAATACTGAGAGAGAAGGCTAAAAGAACAAAATTTACTTATTACAACCGAGTGAATCACACAACCAGGAGGGTAAGAAGGAAAGTCTACTTACTCCCCTTAGTGCATATGTACAAGCAACATAGACACAGTTAGCAGTGGGAGATTAAAACGTTGGAGGCATTATTGTAAGTCTAGCATATGAAAGAAGTTAGTAGGAGATTAAAACATCAGAGATAAAGAAAGAAAGTTTGCATACTTCTTGTAGAGGATATGTAAAAGCAACAAAGACAGTTACCAGTGGGAGATTAAAACATGGGAGGCATTTCTGTAAGTCCAGCATATGGAAAAAGCTAGTGGAACTAAACATAGGAGATAAAGAAAGAAACTCTACTTACTTCTTGTAGTGGACATTTAAAAGGAACAAAGACACTTACCAGTGGGAGATTAAAAACACAAGAGGCATTTCTGTATGTCCAGCATATGAAAAAGGTTAGTGAAACTTCTGAGCAGAAAAGGCATAAACACAGCCTATTCCAAATGTCTAATGCACTTCCCCATACCAATACCCTAAAAGTAGGTCCGAATGCGTAAGCCATCCAATACTATTACTAGGATAGTAGCCATCCAATACTATTACTAGGATAGTAGCCATCCATCACATCAATCTACTAGGGGTTACATGTTAGTAGCCACTAGCCAGTAGCCAACCATTGCATTGTTCTACCAGAAGCTAAATGTTAGGAGCTGGTAGCCATCTATCGCATTGTTCTTTCTACTACGAGCTACATGTCAGTAGGTAGCCAGTAGCCATCCATCACATTCTACTACTAGGAGCTACCTGTTATTAGTTAGTACCCATCTAGCGCATTTTTCTACAAGCAACAAAAAGCTACTTGCCTACTTCTTAGTAGCCAATAGCCAGTAGCCATCCATTACCTTCTTCTAGTAGGAGCTTCATGTTAGTAGGTAGCCAATGGTCATCCATTGCATTATACTAATAGGAGGTACATGTTAGTGGCCAATAGCCATCCTTCATGTTCATCTACTACGAGCTACTTGTTAGTAGCCAGTAGCCAGTAGTCAGTAGCCATTTATTGCCTTTTTCTATTAGGAGCTACACACTAGCAACCAGTAGCCATCCGAGGCATTCTACTATTAGGAGCCATGTGTCACAAGGTAGCCAGACATCCATCACATTCTTCTACTAGGAGCTACTTGTTACTAGCCAGTAGCCATCCATCATATTCTTCTACTAAGAGCTACTTTTTAGCAGCCAGTAGCCATCTATCGCCTTCTTCTACTAGGAGCTACATGTTAGCAACCAATAGCCATCCATCACATTCATCAACTATGAGTTAGTAGCCAGTAGTCATGTATTGCCTTCTACTAGGAGCTACATTTTGGTAGCCAATAGCCATATGAAGCATTCTACTACTAGGAACTACATGTCAGTATGTAGCCAGTAGCCATCCATCACATTCATCTACTAGGAGCTACTTGTTAGTAGCCAACAGTCATCAGACTGTATTGTGGGTGAGCAATAGCATTCATCTACTCGGAGTTAGTAGCCAGTAGTCATCCATCGCATTGGTCTACTAGGAGCTACTTGTTAGCAGCCAGTAGTCATATATTGCCTTCTACTAGGAGCTACATGTTGGTAGTCAGTAGCCATATGAGGCATTCTACTACTAGGAGCTACATGTCAATAGATAACCAGTATCCATCCTTCACATTCATCTACTAGGAGCTACTTGTTAGTAGCTAGCAGCCATCAGTAGCCTGTAGCCATCAGACTGTATTGTGGGTAAGCAATAGCAATCATCTATTGCTGCCTTATACTAGGAGCTACTATTGCTTAGAAGCCAGTAGCCATATCCGTATAATGGATGGAACAAAAAGCATTTAAATACAATACAAGGAGCAACACCTGCAGAGTAAAGAAGTCATTCCCTATCATGTATCATTAATTGGTTGTTGACAGAGCACCAAGAAGTTGCTTTCTAGTATAAACCATACACATAATGCCATAACAGCTACCGGTTCCAAGGAAGAATGACTTCATATATGCCCACCAATATTTTCAGCAGCGCCAAGTCCAACCAACCATTAAGCTATTCACATCCAGGATAGAAAGATATATTGGATCATAGTATCTGAGTTAACAACCAGAAGATAACTTAAAAGACATCAAAAGATGCCCAATCGGGAAACACAAATCTGGAATATAAAACATTAGGTTTCACGCCATATGATATCCCAAATTAGCCTCAATCAAAAGGATTTCAGGGTTCAAATAAGGTTTTGTTGATTCGAGAAACCCCAGGCGAACCCAATACCAGAGGTTTGGTTAATTTGCATCAGGGTTGTGATTCGAATATTCGACAAACCTTAAGACGGACTCCAATAGAAATTTTGAGAATCAAATCAAGGTTTTAAAACCCTAAACGGAGGATACGCAGAATATTGAATATTGAAAATCACACAGAATTGGAAAATTAATCCAAAGACTTAGGCATACCGTATAATGGCTTTTGATTTCAAGGAAGACACCCCCCCCCCCCTGTGTTTGATCTCGTCGCCCTTTCTCGATTGAAGAAACCAGTCGTCCGCCCGTCCGTAAGAAACCCTAACCTATCGGATCTCAATCCTCTTCTCTACTCTCCAATTTGGGGTTTTCTCGAGGCTATAAATAGTAGAAATAAGGCGGTGAGATTTCTCAACGGCTATAATACAAGGGGTTTAG